AAAGGATAGAGGTTCAAATCTACCCAGGGGTACTTCAAAAGACAGACCCAAAAATCTACTTCCAAAAAAATGCATAGTGATTGAAAAGATCTTCATGAACAGTTCCACTCTGACACACGGAGTCACCATGAGCCAGATTGACTCGGTGATAACTGATAGGACAGTTTCATTCTATTGCCTTAAAGCATGCTGAACCACAGTACAAATGTCACTTGATGAAAAAGACAAAGGTCATCTTACTAAATTATAAAAATAGTTTTGTCTTTACAGATTCTCCTTAAAAAGTTGTTGTGATAAGGCATTAAATGTAGCTGGACCAAAAGCCATTAGTCTATCTTTTGGGGGGGACATAAAAATGGGAAACTTATCCAATGAAACTCAAGCTGTCATTGTCCCCGTGGTCGTCTGCCACTGTAGGAAACCGAAACCAAGGAGGACCAGGCTTCCTTTGGAAGGACAGGCAAGATGGAGAAAGAGACCCTGCATGAAATATGGAATGTTCATCTCTCATTCACAAAGGGCTTTGAGATCTACGCTTTTTAAATACACCTCAGAGAAAAAGCCAAAATTAAGATGGTCAATGGAACCAAGCTTTGAATCCAAAGGAGTCCGTAGCATCACCTTCATTGTAAACAACATCCATCCTAGGAAAGAATGTCTGGGACAAAAGTTCTCATACTTTAGAGGACATAACGATCTTTCGGATGCTGTTTGCTTCCAGCAAATCAGCCCCTTGTCATCCTAGAGTTTTCACTGACTGTAGAGTGCCAGGTCTTTCTTACTAGTCTGCCTTAGTCTGTAAGTCCCCCTGAAGCTGGTTTGTCATCCCAAAACAAAGCAAAGCAAAGCAAAATGAACTCATTGCTATCGAGTTGATTCTGACTCATAACTCCCCTATAAGACAGAGTAGAACTGCCCTGTGGGTTTCTGAGACTGTAAAACCTTACAGGAATAGAAAGCTTCATCTTTCTCCCGGGAGAGGTTGGTGGTTTTGAACAGCTGACCTTTAGAATCACCGCCCAAACATGCAACTACACTACCAGGGCTCCCAGGGAACAAAGAGGAAAGATAGGGCAAAAGAGGAGGTAAAAAATTTACTAAAATAACAAACAGCACAAACAATTCACATGTTTTAGCACTTACAATGTGCTCACATTACATCAGCTTGCATACATTGTTTTATACAATCCTCATAACATGACAATTATCTCCATTTTCCAGATGACAGGACTGAGGCAAGGAAAGCAAATTAATTTGCCTAAAGCCATATTGCTAAGTGGCAGGACTAAGGGTCAGCCTGATAGACCCAATCCATTTGATTCAAAGTCTTATGTATTCTGCTATTTACATGAGAACTGGCCAAGAAATAATTAGTTGAGTCCAGACTAGTGTAAATCATTGAAAAGGTAGAACTTGTGTTACATGAATCATTGCCTCAAAGAAATTAAGGGAGGGAGGAGAGGTAACAGGTGAGAAATTGACCCAAGATATATATGGTCAACCCCTAACCTAAAGGTTCGTGGTTCAAACCTACCCAGAGGAACACAGAAGCAAGGCCTGGTGATCTGTTTCTGGAAGGCCACAGTCTTGAACACCCTGAGTCACAGCATCCCTCCCTGACCCACAGCACTACAAGGGACAAGATTGGAGGCACAGTGCGGGCATTGTGCCTGATCTGACCCCACCACATCAAGGCAAAATGCAAAGGGTATGCAAGAAAGCAGCAAAGGGAGCAAGGCAATGAAGTCCCCAGGGAAGAACAAAAATAGATTTTGGTGCCAGGGCGTGACACCCCATCAGACTCAATCAGAAAACAATCCTAAAGGTCAACAAACATACTGGGAACTATTTAT